TGCAAGGATCCGGCTGCGGTCGCTAGCTGAAAGTGTGCAGCAATGCAGGCCTGTATTAGGAGTTCAGCCCAGCTTCAGGTGCGCCAGCAGCTATAGAAACCTGAACTGTTTGTGTGCATCATGTGGCTGTAGGGGTTAGTCACAGGCACACACATGGTGTTGGGGGGTTGGATGTGGGGGCCTGGAGTGGCATCATGAACATGCACAGCCAGAGGCCGAGACTGGCTGCTGCAACAGAGTGCATAACGGAGCTCAGAACTCAGGGTGTCTCTAGAAATTCTGGCAGGGGGTGGGGATGGAAAGGGACTCAGGCAGCTGGAATACGTAAATGCAAAAACTTGGGAAGCATTCAGTGGTGAAATCGCAGGGTGTTCATGGTGGCTTTGCTGGCCATTGGCTTCTTCAGGAGCAAAAGCCGCTGGAGTCTTCTGGGGAGCAGTCCCCTGGGGTTCGCAGTGGAGTTCACAGTGATGCGATCTACTGAGGGACCATAGCATCCAACAAGAGTTCAGTATCAAAAGCTGCTGAGGTCGTGTAAGGCTACTGAGAACTACAATCACGCCCATCCTGGGACTGATACTACTGATAGCTCTGACCTTCTTCTTGGCTCCTGTCTCTATATGTATCAGCCACACCACTCTCTGAGGAAGATGAAACCAAGTGCATCCTTTATCCAAAAGGCTAGGGAAGCTGGTAGCTCACTCCAGCAAGGGGAAATCCCCCTCACCAGGGACTGCCTCTTGGCACTGACCAGTGTCAGTCTGGAGGCAAGGATGATGCATGCAAAATGAAACTACTCTTCCAACCTATTTTGTATAGTTATTCCAAGGGTTTTTGCTCAATTGTATTGTGGAAGCTTCTTAAGTATACTACTGAGCTCCTCCAGAGCTATTTTCATTCATGGATAGCTGTTTAATTGTTACTCTTTGTGGGGAGATAGACGCCTGTGTCTCCTACTCTGACATCATCGGACATGACTCTCTTTTCTCACTTTCTGCTCTGCATTAGATTGTGGGTCTACCCAGAAGCTATTGCTACCAAAGTCATCCCCTTCCCCTCACTTCCACTGTGCAGGGAAAGCCCAGGGCTTGGATGCAAGAAGACCAGAGTTTGAATCTGGGCTCCCAATACTTATAGTTGTAGGATCTTTTGTAAATCATCTGTCCTTGTTTAAATCATTTAGCCTTATTTGTGCCATGTCCACATGTACAAAATGGGACTGATAATGTCTTATTGAACAACTGATGTTTGTATTGGAGGTGGCTGTTTTATAATGACTGGCAGTGTAGTTGGTGATCTATAATTTACTCCTGCTACTGCTACTATTGTAGTTATTGTGTATCTGTTTACTGGACCTTCTGTTAGTGCTATCTGATTCCTGTTTGATGCTTAGTTCCTGTCAAAATGCTGCTAAACAAGTGTATCAAATTGTGCATTTATGCAGCTACGAGAGAATTCTGCTTCCCCCCACCCCACACACACACTGCATGTCAAAAAACAATCTGGCATTGACAGAAAGAAGGATAATGATACCCAATGGGCCGTTTTCATTTCTAATTTCAGTCACTCTATGGTTCTGCGATTACTATAGCCAACTAATCAACTAAACATAATTATGCACTATTCCAAACATATTATGAAGTAATAAGGCCTTTATTTTTCATTGTGCCCTGAATGCTTGTATCACTAAAGATGTAAAAACAGAATTTAATTTGGGCTCACAGAATGGAAAGTCAAAGGAATGAAAGAGAAGATTAAGAGGGCCTAGCTTTTTTCCTTTTTAGCTCTGAAGTAGATAAACACCTGCACCTGTACAAATTTCAAAAGCATGTGAATAGCCTTACAGCTCCCAGATCATACGGTGAACTCACTGTATTCAAGTCAATATTGTAGGAATTTTATCTTGAATCTTTTGGGAACACCTGTAAGTAAGTATCGCAAGTCTCTGATGAAATGCAAATGATCAAAAGTGTTCTGGAAAAACTAAACACATCTGTACGAAGATCATCAGAACACGTCTCGATTATCCTGCAGACTGGAGAACATGTCTAATTCCACAGTTGTCAAAGTTCAGGCTTTGTGTATATGCTGACAAATTAGTTCCAGAAGCATACCAATGAAAAGCAAGAAAGAGAATAGGTTTTTACAAAGCAGTTATGATATAACTCCTGTAGCATGTCATTAAATGAAATAATGAATGCCACCCTGTGCTGTAATCTATAATATAGTAGAATAAGTACAGTCAGTATTATCTCTAATGATGAAACTCACTAAAATGCTCATAATGAGAACAGAACGAAGTTATGCATCTTATCCAACATCTTCGATATACAGCCTACTGCAATACCTATAAGAGTTAGTATAACTTTGCACAGAAAACCAAACAAAATGATGCATGCACGTGCAAAATGAAAAGAACAAAAACTACCACCAGTAATTTAGAAATTATCTTAATAATTCTTTTCTGAATTAGAAGCTGAAATATAGTAATACTAAGCTCTATCTCTACAAATTAATAAAATCCCAAGTTCGTTTAAATTCTAGATTTATTGTATCCCACTGTTTCCCTTTCAACCTGCTCTAATTTTTAATCTGCACAACAAAAAACTATGCAGTGTCCTCTAATGGCTGTTTTTGTATTTGTTATTTAAATTTTCTTGGAGGACCCTAAGCATAGCTAAATGTTCATCATTCTCTAGGCAAAACCATGCATGAATGTGGATTCCAAATTTTGCCCCCTCTGTTTTACCCTATATGGGAATGCATTAAAATTCTGACTAACTTTATGAGGTACCATCATGAATAAAACAGAAAAAATTAGAAGTGTTTAAACCCAACGAGTTGGAGCTGATATTTCAGGATCTAGGGAGGTAACACATTGTATTTTTCTTCCCAGCTCTTTACTCTTCTACGTCTTCTATTCTCTTAGAAGTTAAAAGAAGAATGTTGAGCTTAACATCAAAGATAGATTACTCTCAGAAAGGAACATTTATCAGAGAAAATATTAATTGGTTGCTGGAAAGCAGAGCTATGAGAATTAAAGAATCTGCAGTGAAATGGGAGATAAAAGCTAGAAAACATCACTAATGAAGAATGGAATTCCTTTTATGCATGTGGGAGCCTGCATGCGCGTGTTCATTTCTCGCAAATATCTAAGATGTTTAGATGAGCAACAACACGCCATTAGTTTTGCCAGGCGAGTTTTACCTTTGCCTCTTCTGGTTTGTGATATGAGACTTTTCGCCCCTCATCCCCGGACAAGGTGTTATAATTCTGCTCTGTGTTGCAGAATGCCCACGCTGCTGCTGTTCATGTTCTGACAACTGCCACATTGGGGATACAGGGGAAATCCACCCCTACTTGTAATCTGGGCTGAGATACAGTGAATAGAAGCAAAATGCAAGAAGACCATGTAGTGTCCTGTCAGAATACGCAGGTATATCAGCAGGGTTTACAGGTCAGCAATGTGTTACAACACACTGTAATTCTCAGCATAACAGCGTCCAAGTAAGGGGGCGGGGGGAGTGCATGCAGAGGCAATGCCTATTGGAAGCTCTAGGGAAAGGGATGCAGAAAGATGAGTGTCAGCGACCTTTCCTGCTTGTTCATTTCTGAATCTTTGCCTAAAAAAAGCCCCAGAAAGGGATTAGGGATCAAAGAGCCAGACATAATAGGACTGTGTGAAGTAAGTGACTTTCTTTGCTGTTCCCCTCCCTTCCCCAAAGTTCAGATCACCTTTTTCCCTCTTGCTCTCTTTACCTTCCCCCCAAACACAAACACATACCGACTGGGGACATAAAATTACTCATGAGAATTTCACCTGGCCAACTCATCTTTCCACTTTCTGGCATTCCTCTCTCCCACATTCTGGAGCTTTCATGCCCCAAGGTCTCAGCCTCAATATCAGTGATAATAATGAAAGTTGATGTTTAGTGGATGTTTACTAAGTATCAGGCACAATTCTCAGTGTCCTTTGCCCTTTTAAATCACACCATTACACAACAACACTGTGATGAACATCTATTATCATTCCCATTGTATAGATGAGAAAATCCAGGCTTAGTGTTCCCTAAACATAAGTAGCCTGTCCATGCTTGTACAGCTCATGTACGGGGCAAAGATTTGAAGTTGGATCTTCTGACTTCAGAGTGCATGCTTTAATCACTACTTATATTATCACCACTGCAATCCTTTTCCTCTTTGTCAAACTTAATCTGCATTATCATGAATGAAACTAAAGTTATGTAGCTCCTAGATGGTGGCTAGCAACACAAGAGGCACTATTAACATCAGCTGTCTCTTCCCTTATTCTCAATAATAAAGTATAATATGAACCAACCCAGACATCTTGTTCGACTACAAAGTGTCCCCTCCCCTTCCAAATAACATTGCCTTAAATGTTGAAGAAATGGAAAAAGTACTGAGATTCTCAGGTTTCCTGGAAGTGGAAGGAAGAGAGTTCTTTGAGGGCTTCAGTCTAGTCGTGGTTATAGGTTTCGGTGGAGGGGTGAACAATCAGCCACGTGGTTGATACGAAATGATGTGGAGCTATATTTGCCTGCTGCCCATTAAGGAGGACTTCCATTGTCATGATGGAAGTTTAGTTCTGGACCTTTATTCAATCACAACACAGTGCTGACTACTGACATTTATTAATTAACAATGCATCCGAGCTCAAGTGATCTCAAGATTGCTAGACAGGTAAAGAGGCAATTACTGGGCCGTGTGATGAAGCCCAAGAAAATGCCAGTTTTCATAAACTACATTACAGTCATCCCCTCTTATCTGCAGAGGATATATTCCAAGACACCCAGTATTGCCTGAAATCACCAATCGTACTGAACCTGTATACACTGGGTTTTTTTCCTGTACGTACACAACTATGATAAAATTTAACTTATAAATTAGCCACAGCAAGAGATTAACAACAATAACCGCATGATAAAAGTCATGTGAATGTGGTCTTTCACAAAATACCTTCCAGTAAATACGGTACTCACTTTTCTCGGACGATGGCAGGTGATAAAAACGACTGCGTGACGAAGTGAAGTAAGTGAATGACGCAGGCACTGTGACGTAGAATTAGCCTACTACTGACCATCTGATGATTCGTCAGAAGCAGGACCCTCTGCCTTGGACTGCGGTTCGCCACGAAACTGCGGATCGGGAAACCGCAGATAAGGCTAACTACAGGCTTGCCTCATTTTATTGAGCTTTGCAGATACTGCATTTTTTTTACAAGTTGAGGGCTTGTGGCAGCCCCGTGTCTAGCAGGTCTATCGGCATCCAGCAGTCTTTTCACTTCATGCCTCTGTGTCACATTTTGGTAATTCTCACAATATTTCAAACGTTTTTATTCTTATTATACTTGGTGCCCGTACAACACGGCGAATTTAAGGGATAAATGTGTGTATTCTGACTGCTCCACTGACAGGCTGTTCCTCCGTCTCTCTCCCTCTCCTCGGGCCTGTCTATGCCTGAGACACAACAATATTGAAATTAGGCCAATTAATAACCCGGCAATGGCCTCTAAGTGTTGGAGAGAGAGGAAGAGTCCATCGATGCAGCAAGCTGTATTGTCTTATTTAGGAAATTGCCACAGCCACCCCAGCCTTCAGGAACTACCACCCTGATCAGTCAGCAGCCATCGACGATGAGGCAAGACCCTCCACCAGCAAAAAGATTACAACTCGCTGAAAGCTCAGATGATGGTAAGCATTTTTTAGCTATAAAATATTTTTTAATTAAAATGTAGGAGCGCCTGGGTAGCTCAGTTGGTTGAGCCTCTGACTCTGATTTCGGCCAGGTCATGATTCCGGGGTCTTGGGATCAAGCCTGCATTGGGCTGTGTGCTGAGTTTGGAGCCTCCTTGAGGTTCTCTCTCCCCCTTTGCCCCTCCCTTGCTCATGCTCTCTCTCTTAAAAAAATTGAAGTATATACATTGTTTTTTATAGATATAATGCTATTGCACACTCAATAGACTACAGTATAGTATAAACTTAACTTTTATATGCATTGTAAAAGTTAAGTTTAGGGGCGCCTGGGTGGCTTAGTCAGTTGAGCGTCCGACTTTCGCTTAGGTCATGATCTCTTGGTTCATGGGTTCGGGCCCCGCGTCGGGCTCTGTGCTGACTGTCAGCTCGGAGCCTGGAGCTTGTTTCAGAGTCTGTGTCTCCCTCTCTCTCTGACCCTCCCCTGCTCACGTTGTCTCTCTCTCTCTCCTAGAAATAAAAACATTAAAAAAAAATTTAAAAAAAAAAGTTAAGTTTACACTTGCATTGGTAACCAAAAACTTCACATGACTCACTTTACTGCAATATTCACTTCATTGTGGTGGTCTGTCTGGAACCGGTGTGCCTGTACTACACCGTTTCAAAGCTGATGTCAGTTTTATATGAATTAAAGTAAAGATCAAAGGCAATTTGTTAGAAATAGCCAAGTAAAGAGAAGAGGGAGGAAAAAAAACACATTCAAATGGCTTGAGGTGGGACAAAGGATGGCCTGTCTAGAAATAGGGAACCAAGCCAGTGAGATTAGCATGTGAAGGCAGGTGGAAGGATGGTTCAAGGATTTTGTTGTTTCCGTTGTTTTAATCCTTATCTCTTCATTTTCACAACTCATACCTACTGACCTTAGATATAAAAGTGGCCCCAGCTTTGGATCTCACATTTCTCTGAGCTGGTCTAGAGAACTTAGGCCATGTCTCCAGGAGACAATTTGCAGGACATTTTTTGATGGAAAGAAAGAACATGCTAGAAGATTTGACCCATGTGATCAAAATAAAAGGTGCTAGAGAGGACAGTGTGGAATTTGCCTCTCATTACTCTTGGCCTTTCCCTTAGACTTACACCTATGCCTCATGGAGAAAGCTCTAGAAGTTGAGAAACTATTATAAGGACTCAGGTATGGGTGCCCAAAACATACTGCATGTCTCCCATCCAAGTACTAACCAGGCCCGACCCTGCTTAGCTTCCGAGATCAGACGAGATCGGGCGCGTTCAGGGTGGTATGGCCGTAGACAACATACTGCATGTCTTAAAGAAACGATACTCCAGGTACAAGAGCTTCCCCATATGGGATATTCATGAGCAGACATCACAACATATTCTGTGCAAGTCAAATAATATGTGCCCCTTTTTAGAGTGAAAAGCAGATATCAGCAGGAATGAAGGTTTGGGGAAGTTCTCCAGCATGAGTCTCCTTTGAGAATTGTCAATAAATAAAGGACCCAGTACAGGCTTAGATCAGAGCAGAGGGGGTCTCTACCCAGGGCCCAGTGCTTTCAAGGAGGCCCTCACACATAAATCCACTCTCACAACAATGTCTAAAAGAACACATGGGTCACCAAAATAAAAAGTTCTCTTTATTAGGACATCCAGATGGCCAACAGACACATGAAACGATGCTCAGCATCCTTCCTCATCAGGGAAATACAAATCAAAACCACACTGAGATACCACCTCACGCCAGTCAGAGTGGCTAAAATGAGCAAATCAGAGAACTCTAGATGCTGGCGAGGATGTGGAGAAACGGGCACCCTCGTAGTTTGGTGGGAATGTAAACTGGTACAGCCCCTCTGGAAAACAGTGTGGAGGTTCCTCAGGAAACTAACAATAGAACTCCCCTATGACCCAGCAATAGCACTGCTAGGAATTTACCCAAGGGATACAGGAGTGCTGAGGCATAGGAGCACATGCACCCCAATGTTCATAGCAGCACTCTCAACAATAGCCAAAACATGGAAAGAGCCTAAGTGTCCATCCACGGACGAATGGATCAAGAAGATATGGTTTATCTATACCATGGAATACTACATGGCAATGAGAAACAATGAAATCTGGCCATGTGTAGCAACATGGATGGACCTTGAGGGTGTTATGCTGAGCGAAATAAGTCAGGCAGAGAAGGACAAATATCCTATGTTTGCACGTATAGGAGGATTAGGAGGAACTTGACGGAGGAACAAGGGGGAGAAGAAGGGGGAAATGGTGGGGGAAAGGGAGAGAGGCAAACCATGAGAGACTCTTGAATGCTGACAAAAACTGAGGACTGATGGATGTGGGGGGGAGGGGGGATGGGCATGGAGGAGGGCACTTGTGGGGATGAGCACTGAGTGTTATGTGGAAACTAATTTGACAATAAACTATTTGTAAAAAAAAAAGTTCTCTTTATTATAAAATGTTAAGAAAATGAAAAAAGTCAGACTGGGAGAGAATATGCACAAGACATATATCAGATAAAGGACTTGTATCCAAGATGTATAAAGAATTCCTACAGATCAATAATAAAAGACAAGGGACACCTGGATGGGTCTGTCAGTTGAGCATCCAAGTCTTGATCTTAGCTCAGGTTGTGGTTTCACATTTCGTGGGTTCCAGTCCTACAATGGGCTCTGTACTGATAATGCGGAGCCTGCTTGGGAATTTTTCTCTCCATCTCTGTGCCCCTCCCTAGCTTGTGCATGTTCTCTCTCTCTCTCTCAAATACATTAAAAAAAATTTTTAGTAATAAAAGACAACCCAATTGTTTTTATATAGGCAAAATACATGAACAAATACTTCACAAAAGAAGATATGCAAATGGCCAATAAGCACACGATAAGGTGCTCAATGTCGTTTATAATTAAGGAAATGAACATTAAAACCAAAATAATGTACTATTTCACACCCAGGAGAATGACCAAAATTTTAAAAGATTTAAATTCCAAGTGTTGACAAAGACGTGGAGCAGTTGGAACTCTCATACCAAATGATACAATCACTTTCAAAAACTGAAAGTTTCTGTAAGGTTAAACATACTCCAACCTATGACCCAATAATTCTACTACTCTCTGTTTACCAAAGGCAAATGAAAACATATGTCTGGACAAAGAATTGTATAAGGATGCTTGTAAACAGCTTTATTCCCAATAGCCCACAGCTGGAAATAACCAAATATTCATCAACAAGGGAAAACATGAAAAAGTACACATATTTTAATAAACATTTTGAAACATAAATATGTATATTCAGCAATAAAAACAACTACAAACTACACACAATAAAATGGGTTTATCTCAAAAACATTACGTTGAGTTTGGGTGCCAGAGTGTCATTAGGTTGAGCATCTATCTTTGGCTCAGGTCATGATCCCGCAGTTCGTGAGTTCGAGCCCCACATTGGGCTCTCCCACTGTCAGCAAGGAGCCTGCTTGGGATCTTCTGCCCCCTCCCCTTTTCTGCATCTTTCTCTCTCTCTCTCAAAACTAAATAAGCATTAAAAAAATTATATTGAGCTAAAGAGGTCAGGCAGAAAATAGTATGAATCATTCAATTTCATTTATAAGAAGCCCTAAAATGGGCAAAAAGAATCTATGGCAATAGAAATTGGAGTAGTGGTTGCCTTTGGTTTGTGTAAGGATTGGCTGAAAAAGGACAAAAAATGACATTCCACAAGTAGGGAATGTTCAGTATCTTGAATGTGGTGGTCTTTTAACAAGTGTATACATTTGTCAAAAATCATCTATTTTTATACCTAAAATCTGTATAATTTATTACAATAAATTATGCCACAATTTAAAACATGAGTTTGGGATTTTAAAAAATATTATCTATAAGAAAAAGTTATCCAAATCCACATTTCACCTCATTAAAAACATTTCTCTCCTAAAACACTGAGTGCCTCTGCCACTCAGGTACTTGTGTTTAGCACTGATAATGCAATGCATTATCTCTATAGAGAAGGAAAAACTTTTCCTCTATCCTGTTAGGTTTTGAGAGGGAGACCTGCAAATTAAATTGACAAGAGGTTAATAGGAGATAAAAGTTTATTTGTGTATATACAGAAGCCAACAGAGAAGTAGCTGGCTTATCTAATGGTTGAATGGAAGGTTTATATGGAGCTAACTTAGTAAGAGAAAAGTTACTTTAGATCACTACTGTCAAGAGAATACAAATTACATATAATTTTGATTTCAAAAATATAATTAGTGATGTGCTGAGATGCAGACAAGAAAAACAAATTTTATAAAATAAGTATGTCTCATTATTCATAAATCTTTGCTTCATCAACAGAACCTCTAGCCATGTGCAAAAGTAATAAAAGCAGTCATGTGTAACACATTTTGCCAACTTGCAGTCATCTGAAATTCATAGCCTCACACATTTTTTTCCATTTTGTCATCATAAAGGCACATTTTTTCAAGGTAGAAAATACTACATACGTTATTTAATGATTTGTTATTTGATTTATACCTTTCAAATAACTAGACAATGGTATTTGGGTCTCCAGTTTTACTTATGCCTGGGGCTCTGTACATGTAAGGAGAGAAGAGATAAGCACTCCCATATGTCTGTAACCCTGAGACCTCCCTCTCTACCGTCAAGAATTACTTGGTTGGGACTTTGTGGAACAATCTCGTGTTTGCTTTGACAGGATAGGTCTTGCTCTCTTTGGTGTCTCTAAACTACTATGGGGTGAGATAATGCTCTTCGTTCTTCCTATGGTCTTTCCTGTGGGTAACTATTGGCCAATGCAGATACACGCAGAGCAGGGAAGGAAATGAGGCCACGGAGAAGGCAAAAATTTTTTCACTTAATGGCTTTCTGTCTATTCCATAAGGGCAAGTAAACAAATCATTAGGTATGAAGAGACCCTCCAAAGGTTTCCCAGCCACAGTGGAGATAATGTCTTCAGTCATTATGCACAGAATTTCAGTTCCTATTTCTTCCTCTTCTTTTTCTAACTTGAACATGGGGTATTTTTTTATGCCGAAGACATTGGAGCCTTGGCAATGACTTCCAGTTTGCTCTTGCTCACCATTCTTATTTCTAGAAAGCCTCAACAGAAAATTAAAAATTTGTTTTTTCTTCTATCTTTGTCTAGATTAAATTCTTAGGCAAGGTTTCTACCTACCAATAATCTGTATAACTATGGGGGGGAGGACATTACAAAGATTTATTTTCTCAATTTTAAGTGTAAATCATTATGAATTTTCTCCAATTTTTCAGAATAATTTCATCTGATAAGGAACAGTTTCTTTCTCTTGTTATCTGTATCCCTACCCCTGTTGTGGTCACATATTCATGCTGCTGGCCTAATATTGTTTTACACTAGCAAATTCACCATTTCTTAGTGAGCAGTACATTGCCTAGAAAAGACTGGGCACCAGAAGGTGCTGGATGTACTGAGAAGCTAAAGAAGCTGACTTTAGAACTCCTCACTTGCACACATCCATTCAGAGCCTTAGAAAAGGCCCTACCCATGCATCTCATGGTCATGTATTGTTGTGAAATTTGCATAAGTGTGGCCACTACCTCTCTACAATTTGACTTCTCCATTTGCATGTACACTTGCATTAAGGTGATGTTGAAATGACTACTGGCACTTTTTTTTTTAAACAAGTTAAGGGAGACTTGACTTGGGATCCTTTTAGTTTATGTTTAGTGGGATATAGTTATGTGGTTTGCAATCACCTCCATCTACGATTAAGTCATTGCCAACGTTCCAGTGAACGAGACCTTCTTTTGCTCACTGTGCAAACTCAGCCAACATGATAATCTGAAGGTCAGGGCTGTAGACTGCATCATGGCATGATGATGTCATAAGTGGGGTTTTTTTCCTCATTCATAATGAGAAGTTAATTACATATCTAATTTTACATGTATGACTGAGTATGCTTTATCCTAAAGAAGATCTCCAAATTATATAAGGTACTGGCCCCATAAACTTCATCTATATCTCTAACGAATGAATGTTCAGTAAATGTTTGGTGCAGGAATGAATGACCTTCCATGATCAGATAAATTTCAATTCATCTGATATAGCACCTTAATTTTATTAAAAAATTAAAAATTTAAGATAGTAAATTAAATGCCTGAATCTTTAAATACCACTTCAGTATATCAGGAAAAGGTTAGAAAAAAGCATACACTTCAGAGTCAGAAATGAATTTATATCCTTCCTTCTAGCAGTTTAAACTTGGTCAAGTTACTGAACTTCCTTGCGCCTCATTTTCCCCATCTGTAAGATGAGGAGGATAATACTTACTTTGCAGAATCATTGTGAAGATGAAATGAGATGATATATGTACAGCA